AATGTTTTCCATACGTAACAGTGTTAGAAAAAAAAGTGAAACGTGGAAGATATGTATAATGAGCGCTTGCGTAAAATTTCAAATTCAGCTTGAAGGAACGTTCAATGAGTACTGAAGTGACGATGCCAGAGCCGTAGCTAGTAACAGGCAAACCGAGGCACTTGCTTCAGTCATTTATTTTTTGGTTTTTGTCGTCTATAGTCATCATAAACACCCGAAATACTTAGGAAGAGGATTTAACCATGGACATTGCTTTAGTCATAGTTTTTTCATGAACATTGCTTAAGTCAAAGAACTTTTAACCGGACGAATCTTGTGTTCCTCCCAGGGTTGGTATCGGTTGCTTAATTTTTCGTGTTTTTTATGTTGCTTCTGGCGCTTAAATATTTTGCTTACCTATCCACATTTCATCTTCTACGTATTTTCTAATGTAGCAAGCTGGATTGCTTCTGTAAGGCACAAAATAATCATACAAATAAGAGAAATATATAAAAAAATAACTAAATAAAATAATAATTCGAACACTTCGATGCAGTATACATCATCTTTGGATCATTGACTTTACAACGATTTTTGAATTGAATTATTTATTATATATTTGTATTTAACAATTTTTCAAAACACCTCTATGAATTAAAATTGTTAAAGAGTCAATAATTGCATCATGTATTCATGTTCAAGCACGCGATTCTATGATAGCTCAGTAGGCGGGACGTAGTATTGCAATGCTTTTCTATTGTCTAGGGGATTGAACTAAAATCTATCAAAAACCAAGACAGGGTTATGAGACAGGGTACATCTTGTTGACTAGCAATACATCGATGAACTTCATGCATAAGCCGAGATTTCTGACAAGGTAAGTGTGTAGGTTTTAAGTTAATTTCGGCCAGTTAACATGGAACGAAGATGTCAGAAACGGAAATAATTTTCAGTTCAACCGTAGAGATCCAACGTACTGCGAAGCTTCGATCCCTAAAATCAGTTGTTCCACACTGAAATTGGCGGCTTTGCGAATCGAACGGAAAACAGCTGCAGCTGTCACTTGGTCTGCGAAAGATTTAATATGGATATCTTCCGAGATTTCTTTCACGATCGGACGTTAGCGACCGAATGTGTTTGCCGTTCGGCGATCACATGTAAGTGAGCTCCAACAGCCGGGGTCCAACGCCACCTCATTCCATTCCGTTCCGTTTCCATTCGATTCGATTCGTTTTGTTCGCTTTTGATTCCTTACGTTACGTGACGTGACGTTCTGCTTCAAATTTATCCTCCAGAAAGCGACATTTTCGTTTTTGGCATTGATCACCGTAAGAGTGGCTCCGTTGTGTTCACTCAAATTTCACGTTAACGCTCCAAAAATGCACGTCCAGACTTGAAATAAATAAGCAAGGGGAGGGGGAGTTTAGTACCTGAGTGAATATTTCCCCGTTCCTTAGGGCTCAGTTAGTTAAGGAATAACTTGCATATTATTCCTCGCGAACCAAAAAAGTTACCAATCGTGCGCAAAACGATACCAAGTGGTCATGTTAAAGGGATGGGAACATATAAAATGGTGTCGCAGCTATGATGTTAAAATTGCGAAGGTTGGTCGCCAGACAAATCGTTTACCTTACTACATCGCTGTTGCATAAGAAGAGTCTTCGATTTTCAACGTCTAACAAGATACTTCGCTGATAAACTGCAGGTTTATCTGCAAATATAAACAACAGCGTTCAGGAAGGAACAGTCCATTTATTTCATAACAAGAAGACGGAGACAACGACAAAAGCAGAGAGAGAGAGAGAGACAAGGCCTGTAATAGTGACAGTGGCACCCCTATCCCTTGGTTAAGTTACTCGTAGGCTCCCAATTGTTAAAGCAAGGGAAGAGGCAAATGGGGCAAGTGGCAGCAAAAGAGTCATATTCAGAATCAGAGACAGATACTGAAGTCGAGGAAGAGGCACTAGGGGTGGACCATTTCATCATTTTGAGGGGAGGGGGAGTGGGGGTAGGTGAGTTTAAAAAAATACCTTGCAGTACCACAAATGTCATGCGCACGACCACTGCCGAAAAGAAATTTCAAGCACGTTCAATGAGCCGACTGAAAAGCATGGCTACATGCAAACACACGCCCCGAGAAAAATGAAAACATTCCTAGTGCATCAAAGGGTTGAAAACAATTATGCCTTTACCAATCAGAAAAAAAGTATCATGCATAACAGAGGGGAAAAAATCCTAGTGCATCAAAGGGTTAAAATAAAGCATGCCTATACCAAATCAACTCCCCCCCCCCCCCCCCCTTTCCCCTTCCGCCTTCAAAAGTCAGGTTGGGCGTTCAATGGCCACTAAATAATATAAAATCCAATGCATTTACCAGTATTTTCCGCAGCAGATTTTTCTCCATAAAGCTCTACGCGCATGCACACAGAGGACAACATTTCTACAGGTTGAAACTGAACGAGTCGTGCCTTCACTGGAATGGCCAGGTGATGCTTTGTTATAATATCCTCGACTACGTTGCCGAGGAACTCCTAGAGATAAAACAGTCTTTTTCAGCAGTGCCATTTCATTTTAATTTGATTTTAAGTATTTAAAATTGCCTTGAAAAAGCATGACAAACGGGATCACGATATATGTTGTATGTTGTGAACGGACTTCCAGTTGGGGCCAGTGCTAGCTAGCCGAGTGTGGTCCAGGGCAAGCGGTCTGGTGACGAGGGGATTCCAATTTCGCGTTAAACGGTTCGCTTCGCTCGCCGAATTGTTTTTGTTTTTGTTTTGTTTTTGTTTTTTCGCCCTCGCTGGAAGCCTGTTTGTAGGCTAGTATTCAGTTCAGGAGTAATTTGCTGCATGGTATATAATGTAGCAATTTGTTTCGTCACTAGTTTATGTCTTGTACTTCTACATGAATAATTGCATAATTATCATAATTACACAATTTCCATAATTACCTTGTCAGACTCATATATCAGCAACATTTCTTGTTTGTTCGTTTGTTTGTTTGTTTGTTTGTTTCCTTGTGTGCAATTCATTCCCTGGATTACTCTAATAAAAGGAATAGGAGATTCACGGTGAAATGAAAATATCACCTTGTTAACTCCATTTTGCTGATAAATGTTCCAACTCGCTCCATCCTCAGAATGACCCAACTTGTACTTCGTCACGCTTTCAAAGATGCCCTCATCCGTGTTGCGTGACTGAGACGCGATCTGTTAAGGTTAATAAAAAGTAATAAATATATCGTGTTGAAACTGAATTATTTAGAAAAAAAACAGAAAAGAAAAAAACAGCGTGACTTTCCAACTTAAAAACAAACAAACAAAATCGAAACTAGCTACAAACAAGTCAACAACAAAAATAATGATCTACGATCAAAAACTATGAAATAAGTCCTTTTCAATTGGCGTCACGCTTACCGCTGTAATGATATGCATCTCATTAAGATCAACCTGAAGAAACAGAGGTTCCTCGTTGAAGGTTGCCGAGCACCAAGCGTTGTTAAAGTTTAGGCGACCATTGCTAGCACTCGCCTTCACTGAATCAGAAGTGGACGAGGCCGACATTTGGGCATCGGAAACGAGTTCTTTTTCCACTCCAAGAGGAGGAAATTCGTCTGAATTAAGAAAGAAATAGGGTTTCACTATATAGAACTTAGGTGTCTAGAGTTTGCAGTT